TTACCTGTGTATTTTAAATAGAGACCATAACATTAAGGGTAACCATTGGTTTGAAGGTTTGTTGGAGGATAGTGCTCAGTAATATTTGATTGTGTGAAAGTTATAGTAACTCTGTTAATGTTTTCTTTTTTTGAAATTGGTAATGAAAATCTATGTTTTTGTTTTTTTCTTAAAAAGTGCTTTTTATTTTGAGCATTCACTGAAACCCTTGGGACTCTTCAGTAATGTGCAAATTGTTGGGAACTGAAGCCAAACTTCAAAATGTAGGCCAAAATCACTGGATTGGAACCATTTGTCACAAGGTTGTACCCTAACTTACAGGAAATGTTGACTCCCACAAACAGAGGTTCTCACGTAGACCCATTACCGGGCCTTAGAGTGGCGGGACTTAACATTAATACAGATAGAGGCAGAGTCATTAACAGCCAAGATCAAGGTTATAGAAATACAGATATATGAATAAACAAGCTTATTAAACAAGCAGACAGGGGAGCTGACGTCTGCGGGGGAGGAGAGGTAAGGGAGCCCCACGGTGGAAGAAGGGGAGTAACTCAAAGGGTTTTAATACCTTCAGCACCACAGGAGGGGGACCCTGAGGGTGGGGGCACCCTCAGGGTACTATAGTGTCAGGAAAACCGATTTGTTTTCCTGACACTATAGTGATCCTTTAAATGATGGCTTACTGTTTGACATATTTTGCATGACATTTTTGATATATTTAAAAGAAAGTAACAGAAGTAAAGAACAATATAACATAAATTAAAACAAACTAACGAGTTTCCAGACATACTCAAAGTCAATAAACAAGTCGGGTCAGGATACCAGAAATACACAAAGTCAAATACAAGCCAAGGTCAATATCAGAATATCAAGAGACTTACTATAAGCAAGGCAAAAACCAAAAAGCAAAGGCAAAAAGGGTACTGAGTAAGGGTCTAAATTAGCATTATAAATAATTAATATGGGGTCGCCTCTAAGGGTGGGTGTGACATCATGCTATTCAAATCATAAGAGGATGCTCCAATACAGCGTGCAGGGTCCAAGGAAATACAAGGGAGCAGCGGCTGTGTTCAATTCAGAAAAACTAGAGGGAGGAGCGGTTTGCCTGCGCCAAATGGCAAGTACAGGAAAGGCTATTTCAGGTTGTGTGGAGCGTTTGGTCCGCGTGACCTTATGAAGAGAGCTGCGTAGACGCTTGGAGAATTCTGCTCACGTGACCAGATGATGGGAGCAGCGAAGTCACATGTAAGTTTGTTACACCATTGCGGTCTTTTCTAATTCACTTGGAATTCACCTTGAATTATCAACAATTCAAAATTAGGTTTACATGCGGCTGGATTTGCATAAACCATATTTATCTTTGGCCCTTTGGTCTTCGACCCCAACAGAGAAACAAATATGTCTGCTGATGCACGAGAAAGGCAGAGCCTCTTCTAGACTGACCTTTTAAAATACTCATGCATGTGTTCAATTTTGCCAATGCAAACTAGAGGAAGGACCGATTCACCTGCATCGAATGGTAAGTGTAGAAAATGCTATTTCAGGTCACATAGAGCGTTTGGGGGGGGGGAGCAGCATGGCCATGTGGAGAGTTAATGTAAACAATTCTTAGTTTGAAACTCATATGCTGCCTTTTCAAGTTACTTTTCTGATGTCCAGCATAATTGGGACAATAAAGAAAATCCATCATTCCTCCTAGGTGTCAAACTCCCCCCTTGTACCGCTAACTTGTATCTGCGCCATCAGCAATGAGCGTAATCACCATTATACCATGGACATATGCACAGCAACATTTATGTTGTGGGCCGACGCCAGTAGGCTGTCTGGAGTGCATTACACCAGGCTGATATGCTCCTTCAGTGATTTGGACCAATTATAGAGATTGCCAATGGCGTCGCATCACAGGTGAGGTCCCCCCTGAAGCTCCGCCCACCGGTCTCAAATCCATCTCTCCCAGTGTTGAATCAGTCTGTGAAAATTAGATAATAGGTATATTGATCCTGTTCTAAATTACATTTTTGGTCACATAAATGGTAACTTTCATGAATAACCCTGATGATGTTTTACGGTTTACTTTTTGTAGCCTGCTGGATATACACATAGGTCTGGATATGCAGCTTATCCTAAACAGTCTTCTTTCCAGCTGGCTTGAATTCAAAATTTTGTCCTTAATGCTGTCAAAGTTCAGTCACATTTACTTTCCCTCCAGCGCATGTTTGAATTTTTAATAAGTAGCTGCAGCCGCACATCCACGAAGAGTCATTATTTTACTTTTTAAGGCATCTTAATGATCATTTCCGTATCCAATCGGTATCACAATAACAGGAGTGCACAGGTGAGAAAAATGGCCTGATAACATGGGTTTATTCAATAAATTAGAGATTGTGCGGAATTGGTAAGGGAGATGCAAATTTAAGGCCAAAATAATCAAGCTGGAAAAAATACCTGAACTGGTGTTTCTTTTCTAACCTAGCTTTTTACCCCCAATACATAGTTATGTAATTGTCTTGGTTGAAACCGGACTAAAGACCATCAAGTTCAACCTTGAAACATATATTTTTATGCTGTGGATTTCAAAGAAGGCAAAAAAACAACTATTGTAGTAATTTTCAATTATGCCACAAAAAGGGGAAAAAAATCCTTCTGGGCTCCGTAATGGCAATCAAATTACTCCTTGGATTAACAACCTGTTTACATAAATATCAAATATATCCTTAACTATGCCGTTTATGCAAAATGGCATAAAAAAAAAAATATATCTATAGAACCTAATAAGACAATGTTTTTAGGCAGAGAATTCCACATCCTTATTGTTGTTAGTGTTAATAACCTTTTCCTCTGTTATAAGCAAACGTGCCTTTCTTATAGTATCAATTGATTACCTCTTATCTGTTGTATATTCCTGCTAATGAACAGCTTAGCACATAGCAGTTTATACTGATCCTGGATATATTTGTATAGTGCTATTATATGCCCTCTGAGGCACCTTTTTCCTAAAGAAAACTATTTTTTGTAGCCTCTCCTCATAACTAATGTTTTCCATATTCCTTATAAATGTTGTAGCTCGCCTTTGCATTTTTTTCTAGTTCTGCAATATCCTGCTTTAAAACTGGTGCCCAAAACTGCACAGCGTATTCAACCCTTTGTGGGTTAACGTTGGTAGACAGCCACTAGAGGAACTTCCGAGTCGTTAGGCGACTTTTGGTCGCCTACTTGATGCTGGACGTACATCCAGCGTCATGTAAAACCCAATATGAAAGCATTATACATGATTTCCTATTTGCGAAATACTAATGCGAACGCAGCCATTGGTGCGCATGCGCATTAGGTCTCCCCTGCCGGCTGACGTAGGCAGGATAGAAGTGGAGGTGGAGTTTGAACCAGCAACGAGGGACTTTGGGGGGGGAGGGGGTGGAGAATGAGGGTGGAAGGCACTATAGGGAGCTATACTGCCAGGAAAACAACTGTTTTCCTGGCACTAGAGTTTCCCTTTAAGCCAGTTTTTTATCCAAGAGCATACATTTTAATCTAAACCCAAGTCATTTCAGTTTTAATAGTTACTATTTTTGTGGAACTGTATAATTTGCCGTGGGGGAAAAAAAATCCAAGTAGGTCACAAATACATTGTATTTAGTTTGGTAATTTGTCGCAGTTCCCATTTTATACTGTATAAACCCAGATTCGGATTCCAATGTAGTGCATCTCTGACAGAACGTCCCACAAACAGAGTTATTCACTAAAGTGAGAATTCAAAGTGAATTCTAAATTAAAGCTCAAAATAGCCAAACTGTAAAAACTCTCTTAGCCAGCTACTGTGGCTTTTAATTTGAATTCACTACGCATCCTCTCTTTAATCAACAACCCTGTGAGGTATTCCATAAAGAAAGCCCAATGCACCGTTTAGGTGATATGGGCCATGACTGCCTTGCATGCCTGTATATAACAATCCTACAAGACATGTATTGTAACTTTGGTGTTGGGATTATATAAATTGTTGCTATTCCCTCCTTGTGAGTAGCACGCTTCATCCTCATCTCCCACCCTCTCTCGCTCCTCTCCCTTCCACTCTTACTCTCTCGGGTTCTTGTCTTTTTTCCTTGCTAGTTTCTTTTCTTGGCTTTCGTCTTTCAGTTACTGTCACTTCTGTGGAGTTTGCATTGGTCAGCATCTGGAAAAATGGTAGCTTGAATTTACACAAGTGTGAGAGGGTGTTCCTGCTCACTGTAACTTGACAGGAACCGATCTCTGGGTGTAAGATACCCGGCGTCCTATAGCTGGCAGTCAGAAATATCAAGTTAGTTTAAATAGCCCTTCCCCTTAAAGAAACACTAAAACATATGGAACACAAACCAGTATTCCTAACCCCAGAGTGTGCCTACCCCCCATCACCACCCCTATTCAGTTAAAAAGGGTTGAAACCCCTTTTTTTAATTTTACCTGTTTCCTGCGCCGTACACGCATTCAAGCTTCCCATAAGAGAGGCCTGCACAACCTGCGGTTGCCATATGTTTTGAACTACAACTCCCATGATTCCCCTGGCTATATGTTTCATTCAAATAAACATGGGTGTTGGCTATTTGTTCCATTAAATAAATCATGGGCGCTGGCTGTATTATTTAAAGAATCATGGGCATTGTAGTACCACAGGTTGTGGAGGCCTGCCATAAGAAAACATTGAATCAATGCAGGTTAGACATCTCATGCAAACCCTGAAGACGTCCAATGTCATAAGCAACCAGGGCCGGTGCAAGGATTTTTGCCGCCCTAGGCAAAAGAAAGATTTGCCGCCCCCCCCCCCCCGGAACATCGCAATGCCCCACCCATATGAACTAATGCCAGTGCTGCACACAGTGTGTGTTTACATTAAAAAGCCTGCAGGGACAAACTATAGACACCAGAACAACTTTATTAAGCTGCAGTGGTTCTAGGGGACTATAGTGTCCATTTAATGTGAGGTAAATTAGAGATTAGTGTCACTAATAATATACTAGATTGCCTACTTACAATCAGATGAGGATGATGATGGGCTGTGGCTGCAGTCTGGCTCCACTGGTCTGGTGTAGAACAGGATCTCTGGAGGCTGTTTGTAACTGTGGTCACAAAATTCAATCTTCTGGGAGAACGGGAAGCAGCTCAATTTTGTGGGGCCTCTTACATAGCTCAAGGTCTGGGCCCCAGGGCCTGACGGTGAGTATGCCCATAAAGCCCACCCATAAGTCCACCTACATGAGTCCGCTCACAGGGAGTAGAGTGTGTAGGGTATGTGTTATGTGTTACTGTAGAGGATCTAATGTGTGTGCTTATGGAATGTAGTGTATAGGGATACCAGTTTGTGTAGGTGATGCAGTGTGTTTGTGTGTAAGGGATAGAAAGCAGTGAGTGTTTGTGTATACGGGATGTATTGTGTGTTTGTAAGGGGTGCGTTGAGTGTGTGTAAGAGATGCATTGTGTTTCTGTGTGTGTGTAAGAGAAGCAGTGTGTGTTTGCATATGTGTGTAAGGGATGCATTGTGTGTTTCTGTGTATGTGTGCAAAGGATGCATTGTCTTTATGTCTAAGGGTTGCATTGTGTGTTTCTCTGTGTGTAAGGGAAGCATGTTGTGTTTGTGTGTATAGGGATGCATTGTGTGTGTGCGCGTGGTGTGAAAGAGCTCCCTGTCCTGCCCCCTGTCCTATAGAGCTCTCTCTTAGAGATCTCCCCCGCCCCTTAGTGGTCTCTCCTCTCCCCCCCACCTCCCTTAGTGGTCTCCTTTTCTCCCCGACTTTCCATTAGTGGTCACTCCTCTCCCCCCACCCTCCCCTAGTGGTCTATCCTCCACCCCCCTCCTTTAGCGGTCTCTCCACCGGCCCTCCCTCCTTTAGTGGTCTCTCCCTCCCCTACGTTCTCATCTCCCACCCCCCGTGTTCTCCTCTTATTCCCCCCTCCCCGTGTTCTCCTCTTCTTCTCCCCTGTAATCTTCTCTTCTTCTCCCCTGTAATCTTCTCTTCTTCTCCCCCCTCCCTGTAACCTTCTCCACTCCCCCTCCCTCCCTATAACCTTCCACTCCCCTCCCTCCCTGTAATCTGTCCCCCTCTTATAATCTCCCCCCCTCCTCCTAATGTTCTCCCCTCCCATCTTCCCCCCCCTATAAATCCTTTCTCCCCTCCCTGTAATCTTCTCCCCCTCAATAATCTCCTCCCCCTCCCCTATAATCTCCTCCCCTCCAATAATCCTCCCCCTCTAATCCTCCTCCCCCACTTCAGTAAATCCTCCTCCCCTCCTATAATCCTCCCCCATCAATAATCTCCCTCCCCCCCCTCCTTAAATGTTCTTCCGCCCCCTCCATCCTCCCCTATAATCTTCTCCCCTCCCCTATAATAATCTTCTCCCTCAGTAATCTCCTCCCCTCCCCTATAATCCTCCCCTCCAATAATCTCTCCCCTAATGTCTTCCCCACTCCCCATGATCTTCTCCCCCTCTATAATCCTCCTCCCCCACTCAATAATCTCCCCTCCCTTCCCTATAATGTCCCCCCCTCAGTAATCTCCCCTCCTCTATAATGTCCTCCCTCAATAATCTCCCCCCTCCTCTATGATGTCCTCCCCTCCTCCAATAATCCTCCCCCCTCCCTCCCCTGTAATATCCTCCCCCCTCAATAATCTCCCCCTCTCCTCCCCCCCTCCAATAATCTCCCCCCTCCCTCCCCTATAATCATCTCCTCACCTCCCCTGCCCTTCTGTAGCGTGGCCGAGCTGCTTTCCGGTCAGCGACCCGGCGGGACTGATAGGAAGTGCACACTGGGACCGCTCGGCCACGCTACAGGGCAGGGGAGGTGAGGCACTGCGGCAGCCGCCTGAGCGCTCTCTATAGAGCGCTCAGGCGGCTGCAGAATTTAAAGGGCCGGCGATGGGGGCGCAGGGCGCCCCCTCCTATATGGCGCCCTAGGCGGCTGCCTAGTTCGCCTTATAGGAAGCGCCGGCCCTGTAAGCAACTCTAGTTGATGTCTAGAAGACAACCATTAGATTTGAAGTTAACATTGCAATGCAATTATTGCAGTTTCTCAAAAACTGCAATTCTTTACGTTGCAGGGTTAAACACACAAGGGCACTGCACCCAGACCATTTCTATGAGGTGATGTGGTCTGGGTGCACGAAGTATCCCTTTAATATCAAGTGTTTTTTTTTTCTGTTGGGGGTCGGGATATTGTACTTGGATTGGGATTGGTTTAGGCATGCCTAGGCAGTAAAATGTGACTTGGTGGGACTCCGCAAAAATATATGGAAACATAACGGACTTGGAAAATATTTCCAGTTTGGCTATTTGGGCCTTAATGGAACACTACAGGGTCAGAAACACAAATATGTGTTCCTGACCCTGTAGTGTTAAAACCATCATCTAGCCCCCTCTTGCCTCCCTGAATATGGTAAAATCTTACTTGTATTCAAGTCTGCAGCTGCTGCCTCTGATCTGCCTACTCTGCTAACATGATCAGAAGTGGTGGTCTGAGCCAATCTCAATGCTTCCCCATAGGAATGGTTGAGACTGTCAGAGGCAGATCAGGGGCAGAGCCAGCACGAGCCAAACACAACCCTGACCAATCGGCATCTCTTTATAGCGATGCATTGAATCAATGCATCTTGTGACAAAAGTACTCCTTTCCCTTGGTACCTTGTCCTGGGATCGGGGTGTTACACACAGTCTTTTCAGGCTTTAGAGACACTTCACACGCTGGATGAGGTAAACTGACTTGCTCTTTTATTGAGGTTCCAAAAGAAATGCACAGTAAGGTATAAAGGTAACAAAAATATATCAAACAAAAGCCTTGCTCTTCTGAGCACTAACTAAACAAAATAATCAGCTAACTGGGTTGGATGGCTTGTCCATTTCCCAACATAAACATAAACATAAACAGCCTTACTGCTTCAGGGTTTTCAGCTCTCTGTTTCCACTCACAGAAACCAAACACAATCTTGCACCAACCTTATTAGAGAGCAACGCTCTGCTATCTAACCTGTTGCTTTCCTTTCTGCACTCCCAGTGCTCCAAGCCAGCCTTGCCCTGACTGCTTTGCTTTCTGCACTCCCAGTGCTCCAAGCCAGCCTTGCCCTGACTGCTTTCCTATCTGCACTCCCAGTGCTCCAAGCCAGTCTTGCCCTGACTGCTTCCTTTCTGCACTCCAAGTGCCTAGTCTCCTTGACTATCTGGAGAGAACAGCCTCTCTCTCCTACCTGCTTCCTGGGAGGAAGCCAGCAATCCCTCTCCTTTACCTGCCTAGCAGGGAGGGGCTTATTACCACTGCAATAGCTCATTAACTGCACCTGAGCAGTGGGTTGGAGACGGTCCAAAAAACCCTGGCCTGGATCTATGTCTCCCCAGAAAACCACTAAACTGTGGAGTGGAGCATTGGCCCACCCTTCTCTCCAAATGCTCCACCCCAGGGGCCCATAACTAAACAGCATTTTGTGTTGCCTACAACACATCCTACACATACTCCCCCTGGGGTTAAAAGGCCTATCTGCCTTCACTTTATCACAATCTCTATGAGGAAAGTTCAGTGTCTGTATGCTGAGGGTGAAGACCTTGAATGGCAGTGCCGCTTACTCTGCAGCACAGCCCAAGGAAGCAGATTTAGCAGCCATCTGAGGAGTGGCCAGTGGAGTTATCACTAGGCTGTAATATAAACACTGCATTTTCTCTGAAAAGACAGTGTTTACAGCCTAAAGGGAACGATTCTACTCACTAGAACAATTGCAATAAGCTATAGTTTTTCTGGGGACTATATTGTCCTTTTAAATTTTAAATTCATTTGCAGATTACTGTGAATTCCTGACACTGCACTCTTTAGTGATTAACCCTGTCTGTGCTTCCTCAAAACACTTGAGTTCACATTAAACAGTGAGATGTGTGTAGGCAACTGACAAAAAAATATAGTTCGAAATAGTTGAATCTGAATAAAAATCTAGCTTGTGTGTTTTTACCAGGTTTCTGCACGTCAGTTTCTCTCTAAAACCAACTCACTATTTAGTGAATAAACCCCAATAATATTGAGCATGGATAGGTTAAAAATGGATTCCCACCTTACTTAAAACCAACAGTGTGAAGCATTAAAGTAGCGAAGAGCAATACTATGAAAGGGCTTCCAGAGTATAAAAGTTCTGTTATTTTCCAAGCTCGCTCTCTCTGTGGACCGCTTAACGTCATCTGTGTTTGTATCAGTTAAAGTGCAGCTATTTTAGGTCACAGTAAATAAGTCATGCTCTGTATGCCCCAAGCTTAGTACAAGTGCTTTCTGCTGGTTAATAATACATTTTGCAGTCCATTATAGGGTCTTCACATGCGTGTGTTTGAAGTCTGACGTAGTCATGCAACCCTGCTCATCTCAGTGATCTCTGCCCAACATTTTATAGTGAGGACTGTACGCCGTACACACACAATGACCAGGCCGGTGCGAAGCCCAGCCTGCTCTTTGATCACAGTGGAGAATGCATAATTTATATGAAATTATTCTCTATATAGAACACCCGTTGGCATTATTCCCAGTAACATTTCACAAACAAATCCAGCTATATAGTTAATTTTTATTTTTTTTGTTGCAGCCAGATTGTGATCTTACTATAGCGTTCATAGAAAAATAAATATAACTTTTTGCAATTAATAGTTAACACTAGATTGCCTGTTCAAACCTCTCGTTGCAACCCGTGCCAGGTCTACAATATGTTATGTGATATCATAGTAATAATGATCATGTTATATTTCTCAGAGCCTCAAAACAGATAACCTCAGTATAACATGTCCCCTCTGTATGCACAGATTCTAGGGTGTTCTTGGGAATGATTGCTATGACGTACCTCTCTTATAGGGCATTCTCAAATTGTGGATTAAAAAAAACTGGATATTTATTCTATGAATGGCTATTTTGAAAATCTATTAGTCTTATAAACACATATGTTTCACTGAAAGAGTCTTTTTGATTATAGAAATAACAGAACGCATCATGAGTTCATTGCAAAGTGTTACTTTGTTTAATTAAGTGTCTGTAAGGTTAATTTCCTGCAAAATTCTTGGAAGCGGACATATTCTCTGTTTAACGTTTTTCTTTTTCTATTTTTTTTTTCTTTCTTTTTCTTTAACAAGAAAAGAGTGTTAGACAACATTAGGTATAATTATATCACTTGCATTTCTTCCAGACATCTGTATTTTTTTAATGCAAGATTTTGTTTTAGTAATTATTATTATAATTGTTTACTCACATGGTGCCAATCGAATTATTTAGAGCTGGATTGATTGGATTTGAAGGGTTTATTCATTAACCCCTTACCTGCTAGAGACCATTTCACAGCCATGTGCTAAAAGCATTGATAGTCCTTTGCACTCCCTATATTTAAAACCTATATTAGAGCCTTTTTTTGAAGTTACAAGGAAATCACACAAAATGACAAGAATAAAATAAAATGAAAATATGTACATGGTAAACAACTGCATGGGAGTAATTTAAATACATTTTAAAAATTACACCTTTTGCTTTTACATTTAGTGTTAGTCCTGCATACCTCCTATCTGTCCCTATATAATAGGAACAGTCCTTATTTTGGGCCCAAATCCCTCTGTCCCACTCTTCCATCCTAATGCCCCTCTTTTTTTTAGCAACTCCTTATGGTTGATGTGTCTGAGTGTATAACAGAGTCCACAGCAATAATACTCCCAGTAATGTGTTTTTAAACTACAATAAATGTGTTTAGAAATCAGTCTGTGTAAATAAGACTATCCTGTGCTTATTCTAAATTATATTTCTGTTGTATATTGATATTAGTAAGTCAACTAAAATTTCCTAGAACAGCCCCGCCCTGGCCACTCCCAAATTAACAATTTAATTAAAGTGCCCCATTTTGTCTGCTTGAAATGTTGGCACTGGCTTATATAAAAGAAAATGTACCTGCTGTCCATTGCATTCAAAGAATTCGGAAAGCTGTAATAACATCAACACGATCCCGACTTTAGATAGAGGAAAATAGATGCCGCTACATTGTCCTCAGAAACACAACAATGCATCATATGCAACAACAAAAAAGTTAAACATCAAATTGTAGAGAATCGAAACCCATCCGTGTTATTTACTGAAGTGAGAATTCAGAGTGAATTTCAAATTTGAGGCCAGAGTAGCTGAACTTAAAGCATATCTGACTGAATTGCAGATCAATTTATTTGAGAAATTCTTCAGTAGTCATAGCTTGGCCGTTGTAGCCTAAATTCTTTAATCTCAATTTCAATTCTCTTTTTTGCACTTTTTTAAGTGAATGAACCCCTAAGGTATTAATAATATTAGTAATAAAAAACAACTAATAAAGTAAATGTTAAACTATTAGCCCAAACGGGAAAGTTCATAACATAAAGTCTACTACGGACCTTGTAAGACACCTCTAGAAATATATTTCTAGATTTGGAAATCACCTTCCGTTACCATAGTTGTCATTGTGTTTCAGTTTGACCCATGAACATTTTCACAGCATGATGCTTCTAGTCTTGGCCATATGTTTTTGGTATTTTCTTTTAACCCAATGCATCTCATAATAATTTCTCCGTCTTAATGCTAAAACTGTTTTGTTTGCAAAATTGAAGATTATGCTACTGCAAGGAATAAAGCTTTGTATTCGTATTATTATAGTTTCCCTTTAACTCCAAGCAGCAAAAAAACATATAGAAAAAACCAGAACCAATCAGAAACAAGTGATGTCTATATTAAGGCACATTGAACCCAAGCACCTCTTCTTTCTTTATGTGACATTACAGGCACAAGAGAAAAAACATCGAACAAACAGAAAAACATGAACTTCCGGAATCAGCATCCCATAGAACGATTATTCCAACCAAATCAGCACAGGAAAAACATCCCCAGAAGCGAGTCAAACTGAAGAGAAAATGTGTATAAGGCTTAGTCATGTGGAAATAAAATTATGGAATAATAAAACAATGCAGACAAACAATGAATCTCAAATATACATACACCATAGCAGAATCTAAGCAATACCACATGGATAACCAAAACACACAAAATCATTACTAAGACCGTACTAAAATACTAAAACCAAATTAGGAAGTCACAATAAATACACCCAACAACAAAATAACCCTAATGACAACAAACAGCAAAAAAGAGGAGGGAAAATACTCTCCTGCTGGCATTACTAAAATAAATATTATTAGTACACTAAAGCAAGCATAGTCTTCAATTTTATAACATGACAGGAGGCAAGAGGAACAGAAATGAAAAGTCTGAAAAATATCCTCTGGAGACCAATCCGCCACCTGTAAAACACCCGCCAGAAAAAGCTGCCGACCACCGAACGGATTGCGCACCGAATGAGAAGAGAAAGTTAAGAACTGACGATACAGGAGCTGTAAATGGATCAAGACTCAGTTTCACCCACCAATTCATCCATGAATTTCAAGTGGAGAGGTAACACAGTCGGAGGCCTCTAGGAGCAGAGCAGGTTGCACCAAGTGCAGATTGCCACATTTGAGAGGCTTTTTGCCCTTGGGTAATTTAGGCCGAGACCCTTCGCCCTTCCAGTGGCATTTAAAGGGCATGAACACTGCCTATTGCCGGTATGCTATTGGGGGCAGAGGCAGCTTTAGTGGGTTCAGAGCTCTCCTGGAACACCTTGGTCTGGGCAGAGCTTACTGCAGAGGATGTAAATCCTGAGGACTTGCTCAAAATGCATAAACTTCAAAAAGGGAGAGGAATGAGATATGAAAAGGAATAGTTTAGCTACTCTAATATATAGTTCTGAAAAGTGACCCTTGGTTCAACTCTGTCTACCTCAGATATTTCTCAAACTATCTAAGAGGGTTGTGACAAACCCAAGGTTATCTCTAGTACTAGGAGAGCCTCCCCTCCCTTCCCCCCTATTCCCGCTACTTCTTGGACACATAGTAATGCTGAATTTGCATTTCCTTATTAATTTTGTCCACCCTGCATGGCAATGATTGGCCGAGAGTGCTGGGAGAGGGTTATCCTATTAATCTCCTCCAGAAAAAAAA